GGGTTGCCTTCACCTTAAAGGAAGAGCTATCTTTTTCCACTTGGGTAGCAAGCTACGAAGAATTCAAGGAGCCCGACCACTTTACTTTTTGTATTTCTGGGTTGTAATAAACAAGACAATTTGCCAATGAACATTTATTAATTAATTTTATTTTATTTGATGTGTTAATGTGATTGCCTATAGGGTTACTTGCTTTTTTTAGTTTTCTAGAGTTTGTGTGTCGCTTTTTATTTTAGCATGGGTGTGAAAATTTTCTATACGTAATTAAAGATCTAAAATTTTAGGAGTTAAGCGACATAAAAAGATAACGAATCTAGGGAATTAACCGGGGATCTCCCCCAGGGTCACATGCATATCACCGCACTTCTTCTTTTCTTGTTTTAGACACTTCCTTGCCTGCAGGTATAGTCTGGATAATCTGACTTATGAGAATGAGGGGCGTGATCTGGGGAAGTTCAGTCTTTTAAAAAACTATTTTAAGCCGTTTTAAAATTTTAAGCATACATGATTTGAGTATGTTGACTAGCATGCATTGTATTAGAAAAACATTTAAAAGAGTCTAAGTTTTAATTGCATCAATTTCTAGCATTTTCCCTCAGCATAAGTCAAAGGGGCCACTTAGGACAATCTCTAGATATCAAACCTAGCTCTCCAAAAAATTTAATAAAAATATTCCTACCACTCTTTCATAAAAATGATCGAACTCATGTATTTGAAATCGACTAGGTGGTTTGCTAACTTCCTAATCCAGGCTGAGGTAAGTCCAGATTCTACACTGCATTAATTATATTTGGACTACTATGGTCTAGTGTCCAAATTTAGATTTAGGATCTATGGCGGATCTTGGATCATAAGACCCCAACCTCCGGGAATATAATACTAAATTTTTAATAAAATATACAACTCTAACTAAATTTTCTTCCAATAAAAAAAAGTAAGCCCAACAGTTAGTTTAGGTTGGGACACTTCCGGTTGGTTTTAGAATTTCAAAGTGTCCCCTACTCTTGTTCCCTTGACTGTATCAATAAGTGCTCCAATTTGATCCAATCCTACTTGAAATTCTAAGATTCACCTACTTTGATACACTCCTAGAAAATCTTTAACAAAATTTTGCCACTATTTTAATCGAGAGTTTTCGTAGGAGACTCTATCTTCCTATGGTGTAATTAACTATGAGGGCTTGCGCTCGCAGGAGATTTTGAATCACACACACCTGATTTTCAAAATTAATTCTCAAAACTTAGTTGATATTTTTTTGAGAAATTAAACTCATAATGATCGTTATCGTCATAATCATATGATCTCTAGAGGATGATTTTCTCTTTCTCTAAAGAGATTTATCATGCGATAACATCAGTTTGAATATGAAACTAACAATCATCTCCTCTTAGTTATCATAGTCCGATTTTAGATTGAATCATATCTTGATCGTCTCGGGGTAATATATGGTTCTCCCTTAAATCAGACTATTATAGCCTAGAGAAATTTATAATTCTAGATCTGAATCCATTAGGAGATTTTATCTATGCTTTTTGAGGCGGTATACTATCTCTAAATGGTCTGTTCTATTTCAAAATTGAAATATAAACTTAATTCAAAATTTTCCAAAAGAAATTTTTAGAGTTCAAATTAATATTCTTTGGAAACATTTAAGTAACGACGATCGCTATCGTCATGCCCAAATAATTGTCTAACAGTGGTATCTTCTTCCTTATGGGATATATATCATTTGTTCGTAAGGTTTTGGCCATGAGATAATGATAGTCTACTTAGAATACTATAGCTAGAAATTTGATCGAACTCTATTTTGACCTTTTGAGGTCATATGTGGTTCCACCTCAAATCTGATTATGATATTCAAAGTAGGATTTGTAATTTTGGATTTAAACCCCATTTTTGAAATTTTATTTCTACTTCTCGAAGTGGTATGATTTTTATAATGGGATGTTTGGTCTTAAAATTCGAATTTAAAAGACAATTCCAAAATTCTAAAGAAAACTAATCTTTTTCAAAACCTGTTTTCAAAAATTCCACTAACAATATCTTATGGTTCATCATTTTCTTCATCAATCCACTTAAAATATCTACAATCATCTTCTGATATGTTTCAGGGGCATCTATAGAACTTTCTTGTGAGATTATTAGCTTTGTAGCAAGTATAGATTTGACATTGCATATTATAACGAAAATATATGGGATTGTTTAGGCTTCTCGTTGATGGAGTCAAGCGGCTCGAACTCATGTCAGAAATCCCAAGCTACTACAACTACAAAACACAGGTGAAATTATAGTCAACTAAATCATATACTATAAAGAAAACCAATCATTTCATATCCGTAGCTCCACTACACCCTGAAAAATGGCAACTTCAATCTTCAAAACATATGTAGATTTTTATGCCCTTTGTCTCCTCTACTAGCAGACAATTTATTATGTGCATAACTATGCAACTAAACTAGAAAAATGCATAATGGAATATCAGGTCATAATACTTGCTATACACAGTGCTAGTAATGCTTGACTAAAATATTGTCCATTAATCATTTTTAATTTTTGAGAATCCATGAAACCACAACCATATAGTCTCACACATGAATAAACATATGTAATAACTCAAAAAATTGCATATGCATATATGAATGATAAAAAAATCCATGAAACCGCAACCATATATTCTCACACTTGAATAATCATTTGAAATTAAGGATTAAAGATCAAAATTAATCATTCTGCCTTGGGCTCATAGCTTTCTTCAACTTCTTACTCCTCGACGACGATGAGAGGTGGCTCTGACAGGGTAAGAATCCTTGATTGGTTCTTCGATCTGGTCTACTGAGGTGGATTGGATTGATGATGTTGAGAGATGTGATGAAATAGAGAAGAAAACCAAACTTAGGCGTCTCCCTTATCAGGCCATGTCACGTTAAAAGGCATCATAATGTACAAGAAATCATCAAACCTAGATATTGAAATGGAGAAAAACAACAAACCTAGGTGATCTATCGAGGAGGGGAGGCCGAAAACCGTTCTATGCGAAATGTAGATGAAACAAAAATGGTGAAATGGAGAAAAAAATACATAGCCGAGCAAATCAACAAGCCGACCGAGCAAGGGAGAGGCGATAAAGGTGAAGCAGAAGTCTCCAAGAACCTCTTTTCACGACCTGGTTTTTACGGGTGCAAACAGAGTGCTATATGCGATGACTGCTAGGATATTTAGGTGGTAAATGTGTAAAGCTGAAGTTTGGATGTGAGATAAGTAAATAGATATGTTTTGGGTGTTATGTATGTAAAAAACCCTTCGTATTTTTGGTAATTATACTTCTTACTCCACCTTGTCAAGTTCTACCACTTAGTCTTTTTAGTCACTGAGGTCACTTGCTTAAGCAAGGATAAACTAAAATCACGATTCACATGAGCACACACTTGTAGGAGGCAAGCACATTTTTTATTATTCTCATTCTTGGCCCATCTATTGATACACTAGTGAGCAATCTATGAGCACAAAGTTTTAGCCATAATGAAAAAAAGGATGAAAAGAGGTTGAGACCTAAAAGGACTTCAAATCTTATAACTCTCGCTACTCCCATTTTGATTTTATTATAATATACCTTAAATTATATAGTTTTTTTCTTCCTAAAATTGAAGCCATATTTATTTCTAAGATCTTAGTCTTTATTTCAAAATAAATAGTTATTATTTTTCATTTTATTTTATAGGACATTATAAGATATTTTTTTACATACATTTTAAGGGAAAATTATTTAGTATTAGAAACTAAATTAAAAAGATAAATTGAAGCATTCTTTGCAAGAGAAAATTAAAGTACACTTCTTTGTTTATGAAATTTAGAACATTTCCTTCCTTGTTGTCTTTATTGGTGTAAAACATCACCTTGACCTCAATGAGATCTAAGTTATAACAACTATTTTTGAGGAGTTAATGTAAGCTTATTTCACATTGAATGTTTTTTATTTAAGTAAATATTTGTGTTTAATTTCTAGTTTTCTATTTCTTTAGATTAATTAATCTATTAATTATATTTTAATTTATATATACAAGTGATGCACGTATTTATAATTATATTTAAATCTATATATAAAAAATTATTTAAATAATATTTTTATTCATATACATAGCTAAATACTATAACCCAATCTAAACAACTACTTTAGCTTATAAGAGAATATGATACTAAGATCAGCCAAGCTATTAAAACCTAGCCCCCTTTCTTTAAAGTTTCGTTTGGAATAGCTTTTTTAGTGCTTCTTGAAGCAACTTTCTATTATAAAATTTTTAATTTTTGTACTAGCAAACTACTTTAAAAAGAAGTAATAAAATCATCTCAAACAAAGCCTAAAAAAATCACAACAAGATCTTCAAGGAGGCTATAATGAAATCTTTTAGAGGAAATATTGGAATCCTTAAAGTATTTATAAATAGTCTCACAATTCTTTTACAAAAAACTTTAAGAATAAAGCTTAAATAAGATATATATAGAAATGGAATTAAGAATATTTTTAATAAGAGGAAAACAACACCTCTAAAACAAAGAAGCTTAAATTCCGAAGATGAAATCCTTACTTGAATGTAATTAATAAGATCATTAAAAAGATAATTTCTCCCCTTACCCAAATAATCATAGGCAATTTTTTTGTCTTGAACTGACTAATACTAATAATTTTATTAATCTTCCCATTAAGTAAGGACTTTGAATGAATAAAACAACTTTTCTAATTGTGCTTAGATCAATCTAATTTTCAAAAGAAAGAAAAAAAAAATCTTTTATTGCTCTTGTACAATCTAAGATAACCTTTATTAATCCATTTATATTACTTTTTACAAAGAGATTTGAAATATTGCTCACCATTCTTGAATATCATAATTATCTTTGTTGTCTTCCAAAATGTTTTGATTATCTTTTGCTTGGCAAAATCTATAAAAAACTTCTTAATTATCAAAAATGTTGACAATCAATTCATCCTCCCTTTTTTTTTGTTACATCATAACCTTCACTGCAATCACCAACCAGCTATAATCATGGCAGAGTAATTTTGAAGCAAAGCAGCAATCACTGAAGGAGATAGTTTGCTTCAAAGAAAGACTACTTTACTGTAAAAATCTGCCCTGACTTTTAGTGGCTTTTCAACTCATGAGCTAAGCTGACAATGATATTCAAACTTGCATAAATATTGGATATTCTGATCTCCAAGAGTTATTCGAAGGACACCAAGAAGATGGCATATTTCAGGAAGGAATCCCCTGCTTTGAAGGAGATTCTAAACAAACTACAAAGGTAAGTATTTACTCCAAAAAATAGTGTCAAATTATGTTTACAAGGGATGCGGTTATAGGGAAGTAATAGAAATGTTTCTACTGTGAGGACAGAAACAAATCAATTAACTACGAGCCATCGTGCACAAATCCACAGAAATATGTTTTTTACTTGTAGTAACTACACCTTCATTGTGTACAAGAGTAGAATGCTTAGCATCATAAGCGTCGACTGATCCCAGAGGGACAACTATGGTTAAAGATCTTGCAACAGTAATCTACTGCATTAGTGTGATGGTTTAGAAGTCTTAAAGGTGAAAAAACTTTGATGAGAAGAAAGGGAGGAAGAACAATAAAGAAAGAAGAAATAGAATCAGAGAGATCATGGCAGTGTTGGGGCTGATTCTGCGAGTATCATTTTCCGAAGTAGAAACAAATGAAAGGCGTAATGAATGGCTATGCATAAAAACAAAGTTGTGGAACATCAACCGTAATAGGTGTTGAATACCATTTAGTCATCTGGGAAACTTAGATGAGTAAGAAATAAGAAATACGAGCATTTCTAGATAGTGCTGGTGAAAGCGTATTTCCGAAGTGAAGCAAAGCGATGCACAAACCCTATGGACCAATTACCTATCAAGTGTAAGCTCAAAATAAAGCATGCATCTCGTACACATCGTAGCAATGTGCACTCAACTTTTGCATAGAAAAATCTTGGTTAATTTTGTTTTTGTTCAATGCCACAATAATAAGACACGATTATTTACTTATAAATATTTCTCTTAGACATTAAGATGTTGCTCATTGGTTCTCCATTCTCTCTTAGTGGAGCTAGTTGCTTACCAATGTTTCTTCTCTCCACACTAGTTCTTATTTGATTTTCACTAGTTTTTGTTGTCGACATTACTAGTTTATTGCTCATAAGCTTGTTATCAAGAATGCTTCCTCAGTGTCTCATCTTCACAATCACTCTCATTTCAAGCTGCCTTCGCCTCTCAATCTCCAACTAGCCACTCAAACTCACCTTATGAAGTAGACTTCTTATTAATTCATTATTTATATCATTTATTTCTTTGATAATTGATTTTTTTTTTCTCTTTTGAATTGTTGTAAATTACTATTAGCTATGATGCAATGACACGGACACGGCGACACGGACACGACACGACACGGACACGGGACACAACAATTTTTAAAAATATAGGACACGGGTGCGGTGTGGATACGGCATGATAATTTTTTAATATAATATATAATAATTTTAAAAAATATAGGACACGGACACGGCGTGGACAGATGGCTCTTTTGAACCTTCACCTAATCCACCCCCGCCAGCAGCAAAGCACATTTTGTTAACAAACCAATCATACATGAATACATCAAATTAAATTGATATGAAGTGAAATCAAAATATCCCAATAATAAGACAACATGAATACAACAATATACCGGTCTGCCGGGGATCCAAGGGGGTGCTGCCCCCTGGCGGGGTTTGACCTGCCCGGTCAGGTTGCGGGGTCAAGGGGAACAAAATTTTATTGTAAGAGTAATTTTAAAGTTCTGCTTGTTTTAAAAGTTCGTAAGTTGTTTGTATGGGAAGATACCGAGTGGTACCGAGCATGTACATAACAGTACCGAGCCTGTACCTAGCAGTACTGAGCATGTACGTAGCGGTACTGAGCATGTACGTAGTGGTACTGAGCGGTACCGAGCATGTACCTAGCAGTACTGAGCATGTACCAAGCGGTACCGAGCATATATTGAGCAATACCGAGCATGTACTGAGCGGTACCGAGCATATATTGAGCAGTACCGAGCATGTACTGAGCGGTACCGAGCATGTACCTAGCGATACCGAGCATGTACATAGCGATACCTCATTTAATAACCGGACAGGCGTGTTCGATTTTAATATTAATTTTTTAAATTGCGACACTCAAATGCCGTGTCAGACATGTGTCCATGCTGTGTTCGATGCGTGTCCGTGTCCGTGTCTGACACATGTCCGACACTGCATACACTCTTTAAGTGCCGTGTCGGTGCATCATAGACTATTAGTGAATGTATTATTAAATTTGCTAAAAACTTATTGTATCCACAGCACTTTCTTTCTTTATCGGACCAAAAACAACCATTGGAATTGGCAAAAACAGCCCACCAATCGTCCCAGGATTTTCTTTGATACCAATTTGATAGGTAATACTTCAGTTCGCAAGTAACCCTATTGGGAAATACTTGAGTTCGCAAGCAAACCTAACAATAATCGGTAAAACAGTGAGAAAACATAAGAAAATTTGATGGAAAAGTAATCAAAACAATAGATAGTCTTATAGAAAGTAAATCGAAGCAAGAACGAAACAAAGATACAATTGATCCTCAATTCGAGAGGAGGATCGTTCTCTCCCAATCTCTAGACAAGAAGCTTAGAGCCCAAAACACCAAAGAGACCCCAAGAGAAACCGAAATTTTGCATGCCTTAACCCTAGCCTCTCTTCATCTTTAAATACAAATCTTCCTAAAAGGTTCCTAACAAAAACCAATTTAAAAAATCTCTCCGTATGCACTAGCCGCCCCTTTCTCTCTCTTGTTGCCGCCTCAAGGGGGTCCCACATGCTGGGCGGTTTAATTTAAGGAGGTGGCTAAGCTCACCTCCTGTAGAACTGGACCACCCCCTCCTGGGCCGGTCTGGTTGGCTTCGTAATAGTTTCTTCTATAGGAAGATTTATATTTTGTCACTTTTTTATGATTATAGTAGAGGGGTATTGGTAAATTTCCTAAAATATAAGATGCGTTTGATAATTTCAAGAAATAGAAGGTTATGATTGACAATGAGACAAGTTTAAATTTGAAGTATTTTAGATGAAATAATGGTGGCAAGTTACATAATAAGAAGCTCAAGGATTTTTGTGCTTTGAAAGGGATCAAACATGAGTTTACTGTTCCAAGAACACTACAACAAAATGATTTTGGTATAGTACATAAATTGAACTATTACTGAGCATGTCAGGAGCATGAGATTGGATGTAGGTCCACCTAAATAGTTCTAAGTAGAAGCACTAAATGCTGCTATCTGATCAATCGTGGTCCATCAATTCTTCTAAATGTGGGATTACTTGAAGAAGCCTGGAGTGACAACGAGGTAAGTTTCTCTCACCTAAAAGTCTTTGGTTGTCCCTCTTTAAAGAGAAAAAAAAACTCTTTTAAGAAAGTCTTCAGTTGTTTATCTTATTTTCATGTTGACACAAGATTTAGTAGTAAGTTTGATCCAAAGTCTATTAAATATGTATTTTTTGGATATAACTCAAATAATTTGGTTGTTCCTCTAATATTTATGTTGATGCATGATCTAGAAACAAGCTTGATCCAAAGTCTATTAAGTGCACATTCATTAGATATGACTCAGCTGAATTTGACTATAAAATTTTGGATTATTAGAATTATAAATTTATTAGGAGTAGGAATGTCACATTTAATAAAAAAGAAATATACAAAGGTATACATAAAACTCCAAAAAATTCTTTCAGGTATGTCGAGTTAGATGATGGTGATGACTAGGAAGACAAAGACAGGAGATGTGCTCAAAGCTGATGTTGCATAAAGAGTTCCTAAAACACCTACCACTGAAGTTAGGAGATTCAGTAGAATCTCATGATCAACACAAAGGTATTCTCTTTCATTATACTATCTATTGTTGACACATGGTGGTAAACTAAAGTGCTATGATGAGGCCATTCAAGTTAATGATTCAATGAAGTGGGAGCAAGCCAGGAATAATGAGACACATTCACTTAAATTGAATCAAACTTCATAATTTATTGAGCTATCAAATGACAAGAACTACTACTCAATAAATTGATTTACAGGCTAAAAGAAAAACCTGAAGGTAGAAAGCATTACAAGGTCAGACTTATAGTTAAAGCTTTTTAACAAAAAAAAAGAGTGAATTACACATAAATTCTCTCCAATGATAAAGATGATTACAGTCAGAGTTTTGTTGAGCATAGTAGCAGTGATGGATTTACATCACAAACAGATGGATATAAAGATAACAATTCTTCATGATAACCTCAAAGAAAAGTTGTACATGGTATAATCTCAGAGAGATATAGTCACAAGCAAAGAAGAATTGGTGTGTAGGCTCAAAAAGAGCTTATATGAGCTAGAGCAAGCACCAAGATAGTGATATAATAGATCAGAGAGGTTTATGACAGATAAATAGTATTGAGTATGTAACAACCTAAAGGAGTTTTGTGCCAGATAGATCGGATATGGAGATGATCGGAGAACTGATGGAGCAGTCATCAAGTGAGTTTGAAATGAAGATTTGAATCCGGCAAAAAACATTTTTGATAAGAAAATTAGCGGGGATAGAAGTGTATGAATACTTAAGTTATCTTAGGTTGAATATGTTGAAAAGCTGATATAGAAATTCAATATGAGTGAGGCAAAGCTAGTTTGCACTCTTTTAGGTAGTCACTTTCAACTATCTGAAGAATATTTGCCTAAATCTGAAGCAGAGCAATAACAAATGGAGAAGACTTCATATGTTTGAGTAGTTGGAAGTTTGATGTATGCTATGATTTGTACTAGACCACATATATCATATGCAGTGAGAGTGGTCAGTAGATATATGAGTAACATAGACAAACTTTAATGGGAGGCGGTTCAGTAGATTCTCATGCACTTGAGAGGATTAGCTGACAAAAAGTTTTGTTTTGGATATACAGAGACTCAAAAATAGGGATATGTAGATTCTGATCTTATTGGATATATTGATTATAGGAGTACAATATGTTATATTTTCACTTTAGAAAATACAATAGTGAGTTGGATTTCTAAGTTATAGAAGATTGTTGCTCTTTCCACTATAGAACCTGACTACATTGATATTACTACGTCTAACAAGGAGATGATGTGATTGCAAAAGTTTATGACAAAATTTGGCGAAGGGAAAAAGAAATGAGAAGTTGTATAGTAACATCATGAGTGCTATTCATCAAGCTAAGGATGTTACATTCTATGTCAGAACAAAGTATATCCAGCTTCGATATCATTTCATTAGGTCGCTTCTGGAAGATAATAAGTTATCTTTGGAGAAGATATATATGACCCAAAATACTGCAAGGATGCTAATAAAGATGGTGACAATTGATAAAATGAAGCTATGTGTAGCTTTAATTGATTTTCATGAAGGTTGAGGGCAGGGGTGAGCAATACTACAAATACTATGATTGGTGCTGTAAACCTGGAGAATATTTAATTGCAATCAATTTTCAAGAGAGGGATTAATAATTTTGTGTGGACTTTGTTTGTGTAGATCAATCGAGTGGTACCGTTGACACACACCTTAATCCTATCGATCGAGCTAGACAAGGAGTTCGCTAGGAAGTCGCAGTGCCTCCTTTACTTGGAGTTTCAAGGGCGAAGGCCCTGCAAAAAAATTTCTTGTCCATACAGCCGTATAACACCATTGTGCACTATGCTAGAGCGCTGTAATGCTTCATCCACATGCTGGAGACAGAGAGTGGATTGTTACGATGCTCTAAAGCCCAATGCCGCAGTACTGCGAGTCGGGCTAAGCAATTTTCTTCCACCTTCTTCTTATTTTACTTGAAAGGTTGCATGCTTTGGATATTTTTAAATGCATCTCTTATAGGTTTTAATTAGATTATTGTGTGAAGTGAAAAGATATAAAGTTAGAGTGTCAGAAGACATTCGTACAATTTTTCCTATTTTTTATACTGGACTTCTTTGTGTGGTGTGGCTCTGTGATTTTTTCTGGTTTCGAGTTTTTCCACGTTAAATCCTGATGTTCTTTCTTCTTCATTGCAGTTATTTATTTATTTATTTATTTCACTGTACGATTATACTTCACAACAAGCATTGCTACACTTTGTACACCATCTATTAAAATAAAAAAGAATTTTGGCGTACTGTATTTCACTTATCACTTTGAAAAAACTTTCAAAATATAAGTGATCTAGTTCCTTTCAGAAGCAAACAGGCTAGAGAAAAATAAGTCTAAATGTTTAACGTTATCTATACTTAATATATTGATGCCCCAGTGTCCAAAGAAAAAGCATTGAACTCTAGTCATATAACTTACTTTATTGTATTGAAGTATAGAGGTTTCTTTGTTGTAGCATGGAAATACCAGCGGACATTGATCACCACCTGTATGAATTTGGATCAGTTCACTACAACATCCAGGTATCTTCCTGCAATCTCTGCTTTTAATGTGGTCCGTTAGGCAATTCATATAGTAATATATCGGCAGCTCAGTGCAAATTATTAAAGTATCATTCTTACTACAGCAATGGAACAATATCAGTTTAAAGCCTGAATTATATGCAATCTAATAATTTATTTTACATTTAAGGACAAGAAACCACATATAAGTTACTTCAGTTTTGCTTGCACAATATTTAGTAAAAAACCAAAAAATCTTGTTCAGAACTTTGACCATTCTAATTGACGAACTATTAAATTGACTATAATATAAACAGGATATCAGCTCTTGCACCTGGAATTTTAACATTTTAAGAGCTGCGTGCAGGCTTCAGCATCAGATCCCTCTATCATATACTTATCAATATCCATGTTATCACTAACTCCAGAAGTCATGCTTCCACATGGATTACCTGAATGCACCATACGAGAAATTGGAAGGACATTATTTGACATTGCAGAACTGGTTGAAACTCCTAAAGAAGGATATGTTCTTACCCTGAGATTGAGGTTTAGTAGACTCCCACATAACATAGGTATGGCTTTATTAATCTTACTTCTGCATTAAATAATGAATATCAATCAGCTATACTAGCATGGTTGTAAGCTAACATAGGTGTTTCCGGCTTGAAAATTATGATATTATTATTATTAGCAGCAGCAGCAGCAAATTACGCTACTGCCATCAGTGGGGGGAAAAAGTTATTCTAAAATTAAAACAGTGGAAGTGTATGATGCTGTTGCTCCATAATGCTTTTGGTTATAAATAACTCAGTTTGATCGCAATATAGAAGTATCTCATTAGAATGTAATAACAAAAATAGTAGGCTTCTCTGAAATTCTTTTTATTTTTTTATTTTTTGGAATGAAGTTATATAGATATCCTCCCATACCAATCATCAGCCTCGTCATCAGTTTTCTCATCCATTAATACTTTTGAGTGCTAATTGAGGTGTCAACTACTCGGAAAAATAAGGAATATAAATGTCTTTCTCCATAATGCTCTTATTCATGCAACTCTAGCTGTTGGAATGCAGAAATATCTCACAATGGCTGTATAGCATCAGATAGTAAAACAATTTACTTGCATAAATTAGCTACCCACATCTAGAGGATTTTCCTCATTATATAGACATGAATAAATATTATGAAAGATAGTGATGACTGATTTTGATGTAGAATTAGATGCGTATGTAAATATCCAATGTTGAAATTAAATGCCTTAAATTAGAGCAACAATAATTATTCTAACTTTTAGCGAATTAAACCGAGATTAAATACAATAAGAGGGATGATGTAGCTTAGGCTAAATTACACGATAATCATTTAGGATCATAAAATTAATCAATTCAATCAAGCTTAGCATAACATGGGGGATTTTCAAAGGAAATACCTAAATTAACATTTAGACTAGTCACTAGTTGGGTCCACTCACTCACACTCTTAATAAATTTGCTTGCGGAGAAAGTTTACACAATCATTATGATGCCACAATTGAAGGGGATTTAAAAGGTACAAGGAAGGGAAGGAGTTTACCAACAAGGAAGAAGATTCGAAGCTCTGGCAAAGTCGTTTGGTTGTTTATGCGGAGAAATGGCTACACAACCCTTCCCACATGCTTTAGACAGCGGTACAACAATTATGGATGTTTGGATGATGATCAAACAGTTCCCGGAAGTCGGAACAACAAACTAGACAAGCTCTGGATGGTGGGACAGCAAGCTGTCACGTGTTGGAAGCTTTGTACAGCGAGCTTGGAGGTCCTGGACAGCGAGGAAGCAAACTATTGCGTGCAGGAAATTCTGGACAGCAACTAGGATGATTTCCTGATGCAGGACAACAGTCTTGGTGAAGGAGAAAACTTGTAATAATCGAAGTACAGGTGGGAGGGAGGTTAGGGAGTAATTCAAAGTGAAGGGGTAGAGGTAGGGGCCGGCCATAGAGGAGGGAAATGGAGGATTTAGTTGTAGAACTTATATGTGAATCAAGGAGGGATAAATCTGAAATTAAATTTAAATTTAAGGGAGGAGATAATTAGAGAACTTGATTTTAATTTTTCTAAAATGAAAGGAAGAAAGAGGGAATAAAGGGGGAGGGGGTGGCTAATTGTCTCCTTAATTGGAGCTCCCAATTGGGAAGGAAACAATTAAAGAGAGAGAGAGAGAAGGCCGGCCAAAAGAAGGGAAAAAGGGAAGGAGTCCTTGTACGTTGAATGTGGATTTAAAATCAAATCCTATTTAATTTCAGATTTGCAATAATTGGGGGGCTTTCCTAAAATAAGTTATATCATTTAGGAAAGAATTTGAATTTGAAATTTATTTTAATTTGAATTCAAAATCATTCCAAATTAATAACAAAATATTTTAGGAAAGTAGTAAATCTATGAGGGAAAGGGGTGGCCGGTGGCTAGAGTTTGGAGGGGAAGGCTGGAGGTTATAAGAGATGGTGGGGCTTGGGCCAGGTGGGGCTAGGGACGGTGGTGTTGGGGCTCAGAGCCAGCAGTTTGGAGGGAGGAGGATGGTGGTAGCCGACGGTTTGGAGGGGAGGGGGGAAGATGGCTGGGGGCTTGGAGGGAAAAGAGGGGTGGCCTGTGATTTGGGGAGGAAGGAGGAGATGGACCGTGAACCCGGACGCTTCCTGCGGCTAACGAGTGATACATTGCCCTCACCTAGGGACTTCAAATCTCTCAAGAGCTCTCAAGACTCACCAAGACACAAATGGAGAAAATAATTTCATAATAATCATCATCCCCTCTCAAGAAGAGAAAAAGGACATAAATAGCCAAGTACAATAGTAAACATCAAAAGACAAAAGTGCCCCTCAAGGGTCACAAGAACCTACTCCCTCAAGTGAGGGTAAAATTGGAAACAATACAATAATAAATAAAAATACAAATAATAACTTAGAAATAAGGGGATGCAAACATGGTCGTCGATCTTCGGCCCTGTCTCTGATAAACCCTCCACTGTCGGATGTCCTCATAAGATTTTATCAATTAGATCTAACCGAATAAAGAATCTATGATTATATGCCTAAAGAGCAAATATTAAGAGTTATACTAATAGATTTGTAGACATAAGGTACATACTAATATCTATGGTATAATATTAATACTTATCTAGCTGATTTCTCCGTGTTTGGCAGTCCCAAGGGCCAGCTAAACGATGGATCGGTTCATGTGTATAAACTGCAGCCCGGGGGGGGGGGGACAAAGGGGAGAGAGAGGGGGGCGGTTGAAGTTGTGGGGCCCACACACTAATTATGTTTTGGGTTGGAGGAAAAATTCAAATTAGGGGTTGTTTAGGGATTAAGAAATTTTTCCTAGTGCTTTAATTGCTTTCTTCTTGCTAGGATTAGGGTTATCTTGAATTTGGTTTTTGAATTTGAGATCTTATGTTTTGCTTTTGGGCTCTAGGCTTTGGGTAAAGATTTGAAGAGTTGAATCTTCCTCTCAAATTGAAGATTCATTATATCGGTTTGCTATTTTCCTCCATATTCATCATATATTGATCTATAGGTCCCCTAGCATCACTTTTGGAGATTTGTGGCCTAAGAGACGACTCTTTGTTACTAAGCTCACTACCATAATAGACTCATTAAATTGTAGTTGTCCTAAATGTTTTGGCATGGCCACTTTATTCATATAAGCACAAATCTCTTCTTTCACTTTTTAAGGTACTTTGGTATATAGTGTAATATTTTTATAAGTAAAAAGATATTTTTTCATTATTGTTATACATCATTTAACTGTTTTATCGAAATGGTTGCATTCCAAATAAATGTCTTCTCAATCCCAAAAATTTGTACTTAGAACACTACATTTCCATGACAGGTCATTTCTATTTCTCATTAAACTCTTTCATAATCTCTTAACCATTTGAAAATAACCCTAAACTAAAAATCTCATCCAAAAATAGAGAATAAGAAATGCAAATGATCAAAGAAAACAAAATTAGTTAAAAAAGTAAGAAATAAGAGAAGAGAAGGAATAAAGAACAAGAAAGGCTACTAGTGCCAAAGACACCAACGACAGCACAAAAAGCAAGGTCAATGTAGCCTTGCATGCAAATTCATTGCAACATGCAACTCCTTATGGTCTTGAGGCTCTCAATTTACTATTTCAATTTTTTTTAAAGAAATAAGTTTAGGTTTAAATATTGAGTTTATAATTAAATTTAAGACTTTAAGCATATAAATTATAAGAACCTAGCATCATCAATTTGAGATTTGCTCCTCGTCAAAAAAGGTTGAGGGCCTTAAGGTGTACCTCACTTAATTGAGGCATACACATCAACTAGCCCACGCGAGACATACGCCTGAAAGCTCTTTTGTGTGCTTTGTGTTGAGTCATAGCTCGGATTGTGCAATTTTAAACCAAGGGTCCACTAGAGGGCTATGGTTATCTAGGGTGCCACTTATGGATTTGCACTCACATAGGTATCATAGGTTTAAAACAAAGTTCAAGGATTCATTAACCTAGCCAATGTAGATCTAAAAGGCAAATAGACTTAAACTCACCTAAGGTTCCACTAGACTCAATTGAGTTTAGATGGATCCATTGTCTTAGGGTTAACTAGCTAAGTCCTTAAAGACTCTTTTGTGTGCCTTGAGCTGAGGCAAATCTCAAATTGCGTAATTTTAAACCAAGTTTCCACTACAGGGCTAACACCATCTAGGGTGCCACTTATGGATTTACAATTGCATAAGTATTATAGGATTAAAAGAAAATTCAGGGGTTCACTAACCTAGGCCAATCTAGATCTAAAATGCAAATAGACTAAGTTAAACTAACCTAAGATTCCACTAGATTCAATTTAGTCAAGATGGATCCATTGTATTAGGATTAACTACCTAAGTCCATAATTAATTAAACCATTTGAGTTCTAAGCAACCTCAAGTCATCCTACGCTGACTTCAGGTAAATTGAGCTTTAACTTAAGCAATTTGAAACAATAAGAACTCAATGGGCCAAACAAGTAACATAGTTCTATGAATGGGTCATAACGCCAACTAGATAGAAGACTAAGGAGGGGTTATGTAGGCTTGAGCTAAACCTATGAGGTTCAATGGTAGGTTTGAAGCCAACTTGCTCTAAAAAAATAGTCATCAAATCTTCTTTCTTTTCGAAAGACTAGTACCTAAATTTTTCTTCTTCAATCATCTGTTGTTTAATTATTGTTTAGAAATTTAATTAAAATATTTTGATAATAAATCTATTCAACATCTCCAATAACTCTAAATCTCAATGGACTTCTGATGTAGAACGAAGGTGGGGGGGTGCGTGTGTGGGGGGGGGGGGGGGGGGGGGGTTAATTAATTTCCCTAAGTGGATGTCCAATAGGGGAATTAATTAATTTAGGAGGGAGAGAAAGAGATGGGGGAGAGAAGTGTCTAGGTTCCATGAATGTAGGAAGAGGTGTCTAGGTTCCATGAATGTAGGAAGAGTTGTCTATGTTCGATGAATGTAGGAATTTTGAATTGATTCACAATCAATTTCAGATTGAATCATTCCTTGATTGAGGGAAGACTTTTCAAAATTAAAGTAAATAATTTATGAAAGAATTTGAAATTTCAAATTCATTTGAATTTAAATTCAATAACTTATCAAAATTAAAACGACTTAATTTAGGAAAGAATAAATTTAAGAGGAAAAAGGGTGGGGCTAAATTCGGCGGCTAGGAGGAGTGGGTAGAGTTTAAGTTAGGCGGTAGTTTTTGGAGGGAAATTCAATTTAAGAAATTTTGAATTTGAAATAGGAGGGAATCAAATTCAAAATGTTGAAATTAATTTAGCCATAGAGGTGGGAGTAATTGGTGGAATTGGAGGCTTAATTAGGGGAGCATTAACGGGCCTCTTAATTAGCTGATTTAAAGCTTGCCAAGCAGGGAATCTTAAATTAAGGAGTATTTAAATCAAATCCTATTGGAAATTGAAATAGGTTTGATTGAAATACTTTCCTAAAATAAGATAACTAATTTAGGAAAGGATTTGAAATTTTAAATCATTTGAATTCTTTCCAAAATTAAAACAAATCCAAATAGGAAAGAAGGAAACTAGGATGAGAGGGCTAAGGGAAGTGGCGGCTAGGAGGTGAAGGTGGCGATTTGGTGGGGTTTTAGGGTGGAGATGAGGAGGAGATTGGCGGTTGGAAGAAGGGTAGGGTTGTGGCTGACTGTTAAAAAGGAGAGGAGGTGGGTGGTCGGTGGAGGGGAAGAGTGGGTGGCCGGTGGAGGGGAAGAGGATGGGAGGTAGAAAGCAGGCGACTAGGTGAAGATTTAACCGGCAGTTAAAGGAGGAGGTGAGGGATTAGAGAAAGAAAAATAAACCGCGAGTCTCGGACACTTCCAAAGACTGACAGGTATTTCGTTGCCTTTCACCAAAGGACTTCAACCACGAGCCCAGACACATCCTACGCCTGGTGGGTATTTCATTGCCCTCAAATAGGGACTTCCACTCTCCTAAGAACTCCCATCACTCTCAAGAACAAAGTGTAGAAATAATATTTTTTTAATTAAAACTCCATCATTGATCTAATACAAGAGCAAGGGCCTCTATATAGGCCTTTGAGCATACATAAGAAAAGACTCTTAAGGGTAAAAACAGAAAATGCATAATTAAATAAAATTAATAAACTAAGATAAAATGGAGGGATTTAAGCCGTCGATCTTTGCCTCTTCCTTTGATTAACATCTACTGTCGGATGTCCGCATCGATTTCTTATATAGACCTTTACCTTTATGCATTTTATTCAGGATTAGTTGAGCTTTACTTCTTCTGATAAATCAATAATTTATTTAATGATTTTATTCACTTAAATTTTTTATAGAGTTTTCCTCAGAACTCCCATTTCATAAAATTTTATAAATTTCAAAATCTATTCATCTTTAACTTAAATCTTATTATTTCTAGATCTCCATTTTCTTATCTTGGCTACTTTGGATATTGTAACTAATAAAACAAACCATCATTTTTTTCAGAAGATCGTATGAAGGCTATCACAGAAATTTCATCCCTTCAAGCAATCATATTGAACTCGCAATTGAAAGACATTTTGTGGAATATTGGTTCTCAAGATATGTCTTATGGGGTGTGCAAGCCTATCAAACTTGTCTATCACCCAAGAGAGCCATTTTTCATCATAGGACTGGTATGTTTTTTTTTTAAATTACGTCAATCCTGTAAACTGTTATCAACAATTTAAAGTAGTTTTAGAATATCAAAACTTTCGCTTTTTTAAGTTCTCAAAACTATAGCTCCGTTTGAGTAACTTTCTTGTTCTTTTACATTGTTGTTGTCTTTCAGCCCAACCGTAATAGATTCATCACTAGACTTCTTAAAACTTGAAGCATGAAAGGAGTATGTATGCTACTTAAAATTAATCAATAAACTCATACTACTTAAATATCATTCAACAAAAAATTTAAAATGCTTTCTTCTATTCGAAAATCCCATCCTAGACTTCATTGTGCTCTAACAAAGACTTGCTCAACGCATGACCACAGCATATACTTGCAGAATGGTTGATGCTTTTTGAGCTCGGTAACCATTCCTTATAGAACAACCATTGAATGCTTAAAAGTGAAATTGTAGCCAAAGAAGAACCAGTGCACTTGATCTTCATAAGGCCAAGTATAAGCTTTCACCTCCTCAACTTGCTATGAGCTTTAGCTCCAAATAATTCATTACTTCAGTCTTATTTTCCTTATAATTTTTAATGATACTTCAACCGACCTAATGAAGCTGACAATCTGACATCATGGGGTATTCATGTAACAGCCAGATAAGTTAACTGCCATACTTCCCATGCGTTTAAAGGATTACTCTGACGTTATTCTAGCAACAGCTTTCTTTCAGGCAAGTTTCTAATAAAGAAAAATGTTTTCCAGTGATCAACTTACATGTTCAAATATTTTTCATTTTCTTAATACAAAGATCCACAACAGGAACTAACCGATGTTGGACATTCATCTGCTTACGCCAAGGCACCACATTGTACATGGTCACCAATACCTCCTCCGGAATTAAGAGGGGAGAATTTCCAGTATTTGACTACTAATGGAGGATTTGTATCTTTTGGTATAGACACAACGCCGTTTACACTCATTCCTATTCAAGAAGGTTCCTACAAAATAACTAAGAAATAAATGAAACAAATTTAATCAAATTACTTATAGTAAAACCAAACCTTGCTTGAGCATGGAAGTACAAAATAATTGCTCCTTAAAACCCATTGTGAAACAAAAAGCATAAGTAGACAAGAAATCTGGAAGGTCTAAGCCTAATTTTCTGTTTTGGGTTTTCCTGCTTTATAGAGATTCTTCCTCATCATGTTAAAGGTGAAAGAGCTGATAAGGTTATCTGGATTCTACTGAACTTTGATGCATACGTTAAATACCATGTGAAGGTCAGTAGCATGACATTACGATACTAGTCAATCAAATATCTTTTTTAAAACTCTAAAGCCTAACTAAATTTTCAGCAGTGCACAAGAGGCTTCATTCAAAGAAAGATGAGACAGCGTATGGCAAGTTTGACAGAGGTAAACCCTACTTATCATTAAGGACTTCATTTACAAGGCTATGGAAATAGTTTTAATCGCCGAGGACCCACAACTTTTAAATTTAATTGAATGTAAAGGGGAGAAATTCCACCATTAAATATGATCTACACTAGTTTAAAATCCAAGAATTTATGCTTTGTCTAAGTTAAAGAAAAAAAGAAAATAAATGACAGACCTGTAGACACAATGTTTTCGTTGGATGATATGAGAAATTTATAGTAAAATCTGGGTGTAGATGAATGGCCATTTTCCTACACTTTTGTTACAGCATGCATGGATATGCCTGGTATGCCACCATTATTGAAATAATCATTTCTCACTTCTAAGGACTGCCTTTGAAAAGCATGCATAAACAGTAGGTAAGCTAAAGAAAACAGCTATGTCGCAGCTTCAATTCCTGTCTATCATTTTCATTTATTTCATTAGATTGATCCAAATTTCATGATGCAGAATACATTCTTGAGATAACAATTTCATCACAGGTTAAGAGGAGAACTGATAATGAATCATTTGTATTTACAGGTGATACAAAATGCAAGGATTGGAAGAGAGGCGGATGATAATAGAATCCAAAGTAGGTAATTCTATATGAAGCAATACAAATTAGTTCAAGCAACTAGTTTAATAAATCTCCTTGCAGTTCAACCATTCAGTTTAAGCATTCATTAAGAAATGATGATAGGCTAGAACTCTTATTAAACCAAGCATAAAAAAGTATACATGCAAGCATGAAAGCTACATAAAAGTAAAGGGCCAGAATTAGACTGACTTTGAATTTAGCCTTGACAACAAAAAAAGTCCAGGAAAAATCTTGAGTCAGTATGCCGCAACTTTGTTTATTCTTTCAGTTACAATCTAACAAGCATAAAAGCGCTGCAGTCAGAAGACAAGTCAAAGAAAGTTCAACAACAAATTACAAGATTCTTAGCATTTTTCCATCAAAGTTTATATACAAAAAAGTATCTAAAACTCACTAAAACGGTATCAATCATGACCTCGGTTTTTTCTTACTGATCAGCTTTGAACTCCAACAGGTACAATTTGCAGGCGTGTAAGAAGCCGCCAAGGGCTAAAGAATTTGATGAGGTTCTCAAAGTCGGTGGCTCTAAGAAAGAATTGCAGAGGGTTCACTAACCAGATCAAGCGAATGCGCTCACGGATCAAGATCAGGGTATTACATAGATTCCGCTGACATTGGTTCAGAATTCCAAAATTCACTTCCTTCGCATAATATTCTAAATCAGATTAATACGCTTTGTGATATGAAACGAATGAAAAAGAAGACAAAATCAATACTTGCATATTGTTACAGGGCAAATCGTTTGCATATTGTTAAAAGACAAACCGTTCATCAGAAGAAAGCATGTATCGTTATTTTTTTTTCTTCCGAAATAAAAGGTTTCTGTCACTGATTTATTAAACATAACCTACAAAAAAACTTTATTAGGGTGAAAAAACACTAGAAAAAAGACCAAAGGGTAATCTTCATTGTTTTCAAGCAATGAATTCTTCGAGAGCAGCGGGGCGGCGGCCAAGTATATATATATCAGGGAAGGAGATCGTGGCGGCGTAGCGTAGGTGGAAGAACGCCGACGAAGAGGCTTAAGGAGAAGCCAACTACCGGCAAGAAAATGGCGGGGCAACTGGAAACGAGCGGAGACGAGCGACAGATATGAACTGTTCTAAGTTGGCAATAGGCTGAACGTAAAAGAAGATTTGCCGGATTAACAAGGGTTGATCCAAAATTGGCTTTTTGCCCAATTAAGCTCAGTATATTTAGGCTTCCTTTGGTTATGATTCAAAGAATGTAGTTTTCTAACGTACAAACATATTTAAAAGCTTTATGAAAATAATAAAAAAATGAAGAAAATGATGTTATTGAAAATGTGATTTGAGGAACCAAACAATAAAGAAGAAATAAATTTACCATTTTAAAATGGAATAAACACAAAAAACGTCCAATCAAATAAAGCCTTAAAAATACAATTTGGATTATTATTTTATTTTATTTTTAATAAAAACAACTTTTTGTTTGAAAACCCCCTTAATTTTTGAAAATTTGACTCAAATTTGACATACACTAATGAATTTGATGTTACAATTAGCATTGATTGCAAGTGTGATTAAATGTAATAAATTCTTAGGATACGAAGACATTATAATATGTTTTTTTATTTTTGGCAAATTAGGGATAATATGGTATTATAATTTTAAGTATTATTTTTGGTAATGGAGTTGACCAATTAGTTAGATTTATAATGAGTTACATAATATAAAGAATAGCAAGAGGGCAACATGCACTAAAGGATTTGTAAGAAAATTGAATCAAATTATAAAGAAGGTTTTTTGAAGCTTCACCAATCTTCCTAAAGACTCCAATTAATGTTAAGATATATCCTTGATTGCAAGTATGAAAGAAAATCTAATAAAATTATTTGAATCAATATTGTTAACATCTTTTTTGACTCAGCAAGACCTCTTAATATGATTTACTCCTTCAATCACCCAAATCATGGAATCTTAATATTAACTTGCTTACCCTAGTTTTAGAATTTACCTATTAAAATCATAATCCCTTTAAAGGACCCCTTTATAACCCAAGCTTAGTAGATGGACTTAGCTCCTTTTATAGATAATGAGACTATACCCAAACTTGGCCTAAAGTAGGGCTATCAAAACCGGGTCGCGGGTCGGGTTCAGGTCCAACTCGAAATTGACCCGACATTGTTCAACCCCACCCAAACCGTTTTTGCAAACGGGTCGGTTTTCCTAACCCGAACCCGACCCGATTCGGGTATATTTTATTAAATTTTTTTATTAAATTCAATTTATTTAAATCTAAATCAAATTAAAGTAAAATTTACTTCAATTAATTTAAAATAAATCAAGATTAATTTAATTTGGGCAATAATGTTTATAATTTTTTGAAATATCATTTACTTATTTCATAAAAATTCATTAAAACCCTCCTAAATTAATTAAAAACGGGTCAAACCAGATTGATTTCGGGTTTCCGGGTCAACCCGAAGCCAACCCGATTTTACAAACGGGTCGAAATCCCTAACCCGAACCCAAAATTTTTGGGTTGGGTCAAATATTGACACCCTAGCCGAAAGTCAAACCTCATACTAGTTGGTACAACATCAAACCTTAGACAATTTGGTGCAAAACATAATCTAACCCTTCTATTAGTAGATAGACAAAGCCAAACCTTAGTTCATTCTTAAGCAATTTTAAACTTTGTTAGAACTACTAAAACTTGAACAATGCCTCGCATTTTAAAAAGTTTTTTTACCAGCTCAAGTGCTTATTTAGGTTGCACAGTGCCTAATTCCACCCAAAACTCTCTTGGGTGAACCAACACCTACTTTTTGCTTGGCTATGATTCACCAAATTCATGTGTTGTATTAACCTCTCATCTATATTTGGTTAGCCTCTTTAGCTTGAGCACAAACTAGTCGATCTCTTATGAACTCTATCATTATTGGCACCTTATTGCCACCATATCCCTAAAAGTATACCCTTTATGACTTCTGCCTATAATTTAATTCTTATCAATGCCTTATTGTTGCCCTTTCATGGGAAGTCATCACTTGTTTTGACTTTTCCTAGGAAGTTTGTCATTATCGATGCCTTTACACTACCATTTCCTAGGAAGCAAACCCTCTTCATGACTTGCCTTGGGAATGAAATCCTTGCTAGTGCCTTACTATCATATTTTCTTAAGAAAATGATCCTCTCAGCAACTTGTCCAAAGAAATCTATCTTGTTGGTGCCTTATCACCTCCTTTCCGTAGGAAGTTGTTCCTCTTTATGACTTATCCCAATAACTCTTATTATTGGTAATAATTTTCCCCTTTCTTGAAAAGTCTCATCTCTTTGCGAGATTTCCTTACACATTCTTCTTATGGGTGTATTGATAGTTCTCATTCTAAAAGTTTCCCTTTCCAGTCTCATATCTCATTTTATTTAAAGAGGCTCTCTTCACCATGAATTCCTTTTGAAAATCACATTTTCATTATAAATTTACATTAGAACTTGTCATATTCTCAATTACTTCTCATGGGAAGTCACCCTCATCTTGATGACTACAATTGAGAACCCATTATTTTATTTATTTATTTATTTTAATTGAGAACCCATTATTGAGTTTATTTTTATACAATTTTATTAAAATAAAATTTATTTATTTTATCTATCAAAGGCTTTATGTATGTATACCTCCTATACGTGGAATCTTCAAAGGAGCATGAGCAATAATGAGATTCACCTTAAAAAAACTTGACCAAGAGAGGCACTATCTTTAGAAGAGCTAGACTAAAAGGAACACTCGTTTTAGATGAACTTACCCTCTTGAGGGTGCTCAGCTCTACCAGCGAACCTGTAGCCCCATCAATAATATATGCTCACCTATGTTAGTTGAGTAGTAGCGACTACACATACCTAGGAAACATCTCTGCTTAATAGGTAAATTTTTATGGGAATTCACCCATAAGACTCACTCGAGGTCCCCTAAGGTTGCATTATATATGAATATCTATGGGTGCCCACTTGGTCTAGCCCATGTATTTTCAATAAACAAATCTTATACTATTTTATTATTTTCCTATGTGTAGCCTCTCTTGTAAACTTAAATACAAAGTTTAAAGGCATTTTTCATAAATATTTTTTTAAATGTTCATAGTGAGTAATAAAATTGCAATACTATTCTCTTTACTCACCCATTTTTTCATTTCTCTTACTCTGTCATTTTAGTTAGTCTTGTAAGTAGGAGTTAGGCTGTCACTTGATAAATTTATATCTTGCATCTTGAAAGATACGATGAGATGTTGTTAACCAAAAATTGAGCCCTATGTGAAGTAGAACTATAAAAAGGGGGACATTGGTAAATATGAATAATCTAAACTTTAACTTGATTTTATGGAGATGTAGGAAAAAAATCATAATGATGATCCAATGAGCAGTAGAGAGGGTCTAAAGGGAGGACCAAATGCAAACAAATAAGATAAATCCTCATACTTAATGTTTCAAAGGAAAAAATCAAATATCAACGTACCCCCATACTGAAGGAGAATCCCCTCCTTTGCATGGACATGCGAGGGAGACAAGGGCCCTTATTAAAAAAAAGTACATTCATTAGATAAATCTCATATGTCAAGCTATTAGCAAAATTAAAAAATGCCCCCCTCACAATCGTATAGGGGAAGTTCAAATCCCGTTGAGTACATAACATACTATGAGTTAGCCTCTTCATTAATAAGTATCAATGATGTGCTAAAATTCCATCTATTTTTTTACCTCATTTAAAGAGCAGTCTCTAGTGTTTTTCTTGCCTCCCATTAGTCTTATTACATCATTCATTGAATTCAAGATGATGTTTATCTTGTAATTTGCGAGTGCTAAGAAATCTATCAAGATCTTGTAAGCTCCTTTTAGGATAAGTTAGGAGTCAGGCGAGTCCCTAAGTGGATTAATCATTAGGTTCTAAAGAGAGATGCTAGAACTAAATGACTTAGAGATGCTGATGACCCTTATGGCCCTCACCCAAGGCTTGAGGTAGGGGACTTTTAAATATGAATGTAACTTGTAATAATTGAGAATGCCAATAAAGTTATTGGAGCTCACTAATAATCATATCAATATGATAAATACAATAGTTACTAACCTCATTTTTTAATTAGGTTGATAACATTCTCATATGTTGATCCTTAGTCATCAGGATCTCCTCTTTAGTGTATGGACTTCCTCATATGACCCTCATAGGTGAATTCTTAAGGACTTAGTATTGGTTTGCCATAAGAAATTTCAAATCTTATGGAACCCTATACATTGTATTCAACCCTTGAAAATAAGGTTAACATTACTTACCTTGAGTGTTATGTAAGACCTTAAGAGCTAATCCAGGCCTTCCTAGGTCCATTTAAAGCTATCTTAACCCTTTATAAACTCATTTATAAATGTTTAAAGCCAAATCCCGAAACCCAAAACCTAAAGTTATCATTACATGAGCCTTAGGGTTTAATTGAACCATTTATGATTTAATTAACCCTATAATTATCTAAAAGCCACCAAAGGATGCTAGGATACTTCCTAGTCACCTTAAATAGGTAGAGGACCCCTAGGTCAACCAAAAATCAAACCTTAAAAAAAAAAAGCCTAAAATGCCTTAAAACCTTGGTGATTTCCTTAGGACCCCTGAATTGATCTTAGACTCACTCCATATGCCAATGAGTCCAGTCAACCAATTTGACACATGGTTAAAGTGGATTTGATCAAGATCACCCTTTTACCCTAAATTCTTTAAATTCAAATATAACCACCTAATCTAAATCCAATGCTTAGGTATTAATTCTAGGTGATCTTAACATTTTCTATATGCATTTAGACATGTACTTAAACCATGGTCAAGCTCCCTTTCCCATGTTCAATCCTAATTTAACCAAATGGCTCAAGTGATATTCTTTGAGTTTACTTCAGTTAAACCTATCCAAACCTATACCAAACCTCTCCAGACATTACACAATTATTCCTAAAATCCTAAGATAGCTCCCCTAAGTGGTCCAACCCACTTAGCTTAGCCCAAGAGGGTCAAACCTATTGAATTGAGCCATTTTAAGATTTCCAAACCAAAACTCAACTTCCCAAGTCCAAATCAAGCTACCAATAGCCTTCCATAGACTATCCATTCTTTTATATGGCTTGCTTAGCCATTAAGCTAGCTAGTGTTGACTTAGGTGGTCCATAACATCAAAAGAATCAGTTACCCTTAATTATTTGCTC